TGTGCATCAGAATCATCTGGAAAGCTTAGTAAAGTACACATTTCTGCCCTAACCGGTTTGGCTCAGTGGCTGGAGGGATCCCAGGTTTGATTCCGATCAAGGGCATGTACCTTGGTTGTGGGCACCTCCCAGTGGGGAGTGTGCAGAAGGCAGCTGGTCGATGTTTCTCTCTCATTGGTGTTTCTGACTCTCTATTCTTTTCCCTTCCTCTCTAAAAAATCAGTGAAATATATATTTTTTAAAAGTACACATTACTGGGCCTCTCCCTTTCACAGTTTCTGGTTCCATAGTTTGGGGTATGTCCAGAAATTTGCATTTCTGACAGGTTTCAGTGTGATGCTGAGGCTGCTGGTCAGAGGCACCAAACAAGAGTGAATGCCCTACACCAACTGGAGAAGCAGAGGCAGTAGGGGAGTTGCATTCTTTGTGGGGTTCCAGCCATCTGGAATTGTTCTTTGCAGCCACTTTTGTAGGGTTTAGCAACAACACCTTTGTTATAAAAATATATGGAATGCTTCTAGGCGCTAGGCATCATGCCAGACCCTAAAAATAAAAAATTAGTAAGATGTAATCCCTGCCCTTAAGAACTTCTTAGGGGCCCTAGCTGGTTTGTCTCAGTGGGTAGATCATCGACCTGCCGACTGAAGGGTCCCGAATTTGATTCTGGTCAAGGGCACATACCTGGGTTGTGGGCTTGATCCCCAGTAGGGAGCATGCAAGAGGCAACCAATCAATGATTCTCTCTCTTTGATGTTCCTCTCTCTCTTTCTCCTTCTCCCTTACTCTCTGAAATCAATAAAAAAATTTTTTTTTTTAAAAAAGAACTTCTTAGGGGATGCAGATACCTTACACAATTCCTGGAATACAATGGTGACAAGTTCTAATTAGTGATAGAGCAAAGTGTTTATGGGAACCAAGGCGGATGGACAATGAGCAGTGAGAGTTTCATTACCTAATGTCAATAATCTTTCTACAGGATGGGAGCATAACCAGGTTCTATAGGTACCTGTAGGTTCTATAGGTACATGTAAGGTCATACAAATTGCTACTCCAGCCAAGACCGGTTTGGCTCAGTGGATAGAGCGTCGGCTTGGGGACTGAAGGGTCCCGGGTTCGATTCCGGTCAAGGGCATGTACCTTGGTTGCGGGCATATCCCCAGTAGGGGGTGTGCAAGAGGCAGCTGATTGATGACTCTCTCTCATCGATGTTTCTAACTCTCTCTCTCCCTTTCTCTCTGTACAAAATCAATAAAATATATATTTTAAAAAATTGCTACTCCAAGGAAGGCAGAAACATGCTTCACTGTCTCTGAGTGTGACACCAAATGATAGGTTAGATCAAGGCAGGATTCCCTTAATATAGCTAATAAACTGCTCCCTTTGCAAGGAGGAAGGAAGAGGATATCATGTGCCCTAGAATTGTAATTATTGGTTCCATCTGCTTTGATGGCCACCTCATTCTTCTCCCTTTTCTTCTTCTCTACCATTCTCCAAGCAAAAGACATAAACACTTGTAGCACTTCCTTTTTGTAGAGGGCCCTTGGGAATGCACATGGATGACCTTTAATTATCATCAGCTGAACTCAAGGTGTAGGCAGAGCCACGCCCCGGGAACAGGTTTCCCCAAAATGTCGGAGACGGAAATCAGTACCGATTTCTTATCTTTATCCATGTGCTTGGAATGAGGAATGAATAGGACCTTGACTTACCCAGGTCTTGATAAGCTAAATCCCAGGAATGAGGGAATGAATAGGACCTGGGCACACCCAAAACTCCTTTGATTCTAAGCTTTTCAGGGAAACCTCTCTTTACGCTTTTGGAAATAAATAAATGTGCTGTGTTGTCTGTGGTGTTAATTGTCTCCATCAGAATGACAGCCCCCCAATCCGGGTCCCTGCTTGATGAATCTATTTCTGCCTCTTAGTCTCTTTTTAAAAAAATATATTTTATTGATTTTTTTTTTATAGAGAGGAAGGGAGAGAGATAGAGAGCTAGAAACATCGGTCAGCTGCCTTCTACACAACCCCCCCACTGGGGATGTGCCCTCAACCAAGGGACATGCCCTTAAGCGGAATCGAACCTGGGACCTTTCAGTCTGCAGGCTGACATTCTAACCACTGAGCAAAACCGGTTTCAGCTTTCTTTAATTTAATTCCCAGCTCCTCCACTCGGGAACCTGTCCTTTTCCGTGTGGGTCATGGAAAACAGAGAAACAGCGCCCCACACCTTTTGATTGTTTGAAGGTTCTAGTTAAAGATAATTTTTCTTTATTTTTGAAGAAACCTTTATGTCTGAATTGCTATAGGAATAGAAATTAGAGGGTAATACACCAAAATCTTGTGATGATGGGTAGGTTATTAGTGGTTTAAATCATCCCCGAAGTAAGAAGTCTATTCTCAGATCAGAATGTAACAAGTGGTTTGGATTTCTTTGAAACCTTATAACTAGCTTGTTGTGCTTTCAATTGACATTTTGCTCTCAAAATATCTATACATTTTTTTTTAAAAGGATATGGGTCTTGAAGGGTAAAGTCACTTGGCTGAGGTTATATAGAAATATTAATAGGACAAAGGTGTTAAAATAATTAAAAAGCAAAATCCTTTAAAGAAAATAGAGGGAAGCCCTAGCAGGTTTGGCTCTGTGGATGGAGCGTTGGCCTGTGGACCAAAGGGTCCCAGGTTTGATCCCCGTCCAGGGCAGGAACCTGGGTCCAGGACCCTGGTCTGGGATTTTGCAGGAGGCAGCCAATCAATGATTCTCTCTCATCATCGATGTTTCTCTCTCTCTTTCCCTCTCCCTTTTTCTCTGAAATCAATGAAGATTAAAAACAAATGTTCATGGGATGAGTGCCTTGGGTGGGGCCTGGATGAGGCTGGTGGACCTATTGGGAAATGTCTTTTGTGTGAAGTGTATCATTGGGCATGTGGAGGTATTGTTGATTTGAGAAAATGCTAAGTAACTGATTTACTATCTGAAAAGGGATTTACTATCGGGGAAAGGGAGGGAAGAAAAGACTTAACATAAACTGCACCTATGGATGAAGACAATGGGGGATGGAGAGGGGGCGGTGGGTGGGGTGGGAACCTGGTGGAGGGGGGAAGAAATGAGGAACCTTTGTAATAATATGAACAATAAAGATTGATTAAAACAAAAAAACAAAAAACAAAACAAAACAAAACACACACACAAATGTTCAGATTCATTCCTTTTTTAAAAAAAATAAAATTTATGGAGGTATAAATTACATACAATAAAATCCACCCTTTTTACTGTACAGTTCTATGATTTCTGACAAATGCATACAATTGTGTGATACCATCATAACCAAGATGTAGAGCAGTTCATCACCCCTGACACCCTCCCTGCCACAACTTCTTTGTGCCCCTTCATAGTCGGCTTCTCTTCCCACACTCATCCTTTGATCACTACTGATCTGTTTTCTGACCCTATAATTTTGCCCTTTCCAGAAAGTCTATGTATTATAGTGTGGTCTTTTTTGTTGTTGTTGTTACTTCTCACTTGAGGATATTTTTAAAAATATTCATTTTTTAATTAAAAATTTATAAAAAATATTTTTATTGATTTCAGAGAGAGACAGAAATATCATGATGAGAGAATCATTGATCAGCTACCTTCTGCAAGCCTCACCCTGGGATCAAGTCTGCAATCCCGGCATATGCCCTGAATTGAACCTGGTTCCTGGTTCATAGGACACTCAACCACGGAGCCAGGCTGGCCAGGCTATTTTTGTTGATTTTTAGAGAGAGGAAGGGAGGGAGAGATATATAAACACCTTTGTGATGAGATAAAATCTCAGGGAATTATCAGGGTGACGCCAGCAGACTTTATCAGGCCCAATCATAGTGGAAGTTAAAATACCATTTTTAAATGATTTCAGAGAGGAAGGAAGAGGGAGAGAGAGAAACATCAATGATTAGAGAAACTCATTGATCGCTGCCTCCTGCACGCTCTCCACTGGGGATCCAGCCCGCAACCCAGGCATGTGCCCTTGACCAGAATCGAATCTGGGACCCTTCAGTTCGCAGGCTGATGCTCTATCCACTGAGTCAAACCGGCTAGGGCTAAAATACCGTTTTTATCCCGCCTCTGATTCTGCACCAGAAGCCTGACCAGCAGGACAGTGCCAGGAATGCATGCTTTCTATGTGATATGCACGCATGTTGCTGTGGCACCTTGCCTACAAAGCAGGAGCTGTGCTTTCAAATCGCCAAGAGCCTGTGCTTGCTGTGTGGTGAAGAGCCAATCTCGCAACTTGGGCACGTAAGAAGGATGCCTTCTCTCTCCCTTTAACACCAAGAACATAAAGAAGGAAACAAAACAAAAACACCCAAACAAACCCGGCAAGCCTCAGAAACCGCCGGAGAGCCTAGAGAAAGCGCGCCAATCGCACAAAGAAAAGTAGGGGGGCTGGTGGGATTCAAAATAGTTCCCCAGGACGAACACCCGCCTGGACCTATCGGAGTTAACTGCGCGCTCGGTTGTAGCTAATGGACGCGGCTCTGCAGGCTCGAGCCCGCCCTCGAGGCTGATTGACGTTTGCGCCGCCCAATGGGATGGCGCGATGCTGAAGCACCAGCCAATACATTCGGGAGGTGGGCGGAGCGTAGGCCAGGGGGTTGGCGGTGTCGTGTCATGGAGGCTCAGTCTCTCCGCAGCCATTGAAGGGGACGGAACTGCGGGAGTGTGTGTATGTGTGTGTGCGCGTGTGTGTGTGCATGTGAGCGCGCGCGCCAGTGTGTGGACGAGGAGGTGTTGGCAGCCGAGTTAGAGTCCCAACTCCTTGGACTCCATTTGGCATTCTTTTTTCTCTCCTCCCCCCCCCCCCCATATTCCCTCACACCTATCTGCTGGTGGTGGGCGTTTGTGTGTGCGTTTCTTTTCATTCATTTCCAAATCTTTCACATTTGAGGGGTGGGGGTTAGTAAGGGAGGCAGGACCGGGTAACGGAGGAGAGGAGGCGCCGAAGACCGGAGGAGGACATGGAGATGAAGACGAAGATTAACCAGGAGTTAAGGAACCGAGCCCCGGAGGAGGTGAGATGACTCAGCCCCCTCCCCTTCCCACCAGCCGGGATTCGGGGGATCGGGTGGTGGTGGTGGGGCGCCTGGGTGGGTGTGTGGGGACGGGTTTACCCCAGGAAGTATTTAATTTGAAGTTTAAATCATTAATATCTTTTACTTAAAATGGCGAAGGGTTTAAGTTTCTAGGGGCTTTTTTGTGTGTGTGTGTGTGTGTGTGTGTGTGTGTGTGCGTGCATGGGGGCTTATCCCATTCTCCTTTCAGGCGTCCTGCCCTCGTGGGGGGCGGGAAGCAGGGTGTCGGGGGGGGGGCGCCGCTCGGCTCCCCTCCTCCCGGGGGACAGGCGGCGTGAGCGCGACCCCGGGTCCCGCTCGGCCCCCTGCCGCAGCCATCGTCGCCCGAGAAGTTAGTCCAACTTTCCTTCGGGGCTGTGCCCTCTCTTTGGGGGGAGGGGCGGCCCGGCCTGGGGGCCCCCGGGCGTCCGCAGAGGCCGCGCCGCGCAGGCTGGGGTCGCCCCGGAGGCCGGCGCCCACCCGCCCGCGGCGCCCACTCCCCGGGGCGGCGCGCGCCGGCCGCGCGGGCGGAATCTGGGTCGGCGGCCGGAGAAGTTTTGGGGACTCGTCGCTGCGATCGGCGGTGGGGAGGGCGCTCGAGGGGTGATCTCCTTCCCCGCGGCGGCCGGCTGGTCTGGTCGCGGCGGCCGCAGCTCCGGACGCGGTCCCCGGAGACGGTCTACGCGCCCAGCCCCGGGCGGAGGGCTTTGTGCCTCCCGGACGGCGCGGCGGCGGCTCTGGGCGAGGCGCGCTCCCCGCGGCCGCCTTAAAGGGACGGGGCTGGGAGGGGCCACGCGAGGCGGGGTTGCGGTCAACTTTTGGGGGGTCGGGCGGGAGGCGTTTCCGCCCCCTTTCCGAGGGGGCCTCTCCGGCTTCAGTCCCGTCCCATCCCGCCGGGCGCGGAGGCGGTCCTGGGAGGCGACCCCGTTTTTCCACGGGGACTCCCCGCGGGGTTTCCGTGGGTCGGAGAGGCAGGTCGTCAGAGTGACCAGAGGGGAACCTCTCACTCCTGATCAGAGGGAAGCCTCTGAGATACGTGCGAGCGCTGGGACTTTGGGGTATAATTTGCTCGGAGGCTGGAGGCGGGGCCGTGCACCCCGCGAACGGGTCGGGGTGGGTCTGTCCGGCGGCGGCGGCGTGCACTTTTCAAAGAAGTTCGTTTCCCTGGGATTGGCAGGTGGCAGGCAGGAGGAAACAGCCGTTATTATCTCAGAGGTAACTGGAAGTTTTCTAGCACCTACTCTTTGGGGGCTGCAGAAAGAAAGAAAAAAATTTAAAAGCTGCCTCTCAGAAGCACACGTTTAGAATGCTTTTCTATGGCTTGGGGTGGAAAAGTGGATTTATACCCCCCTTCTTTTACCTACCCTATCGCAGTAACTCCTGCCCCCACACTCTTTTACCCCGGGCTATGGAAGTAATACCCTTTCCAGTTTTGGCAAGTGCCCGGATGTTGCCTTTTTGTAGCCTCTCCTTCCTCCCCCTGGTGTAATAACGGTCGTGTATTTGCATAGCTTTCCCCAGTTTACAAAGCACCGTCCTCTTTGCTCTCCACTGACTCCTTCAGACACACCGGCGAGGTAGACTGGGTTGGTGGAGGCCCAGGACCGTGCAGTTACTCAGGTGGAGGCACTGGTGAGCTGACACCAAACCCTGTGGGCTGACACCAGGCAGGCCATTCTCACCCTCAGGGGTTTGGCTTCCTCCTCTCTAAGCAGATCATGATGCCTTCTCCGCTCACTGAAGTAATTATGCCGAAGACACTTGGAAGCAGAGAAGGTGGCACTCCTTGTTGCTAATTGGAGCACTCCCAATACACGGGACAGCGGGAATGGAGAGCCAGGGTCTTCTGCCTTCCCCGAGAGAGGAAGTCCGTCTAGCCCACATCAGAAAGTTTTGTGTGTTTTTTCTACATCAGAAAGTTTTGTTCTACGGCTCTGACCTAATGGAGGATCCAGCCACCACCTGCCCCCTCACAAAAATGGGGAGAAAGTCACAAAAGTGCTACCAAGATGGCAGGGAGAAATAAACATTTTGTCAACGATGTATCATTCTGGCTGGTATTGTTTGGCCTTGATGTTAGAACAAATAACATCCAAAAGCTGGGTTGTCTCGGTAGGAGCTTTCTTTTCTTTTTAAAAAAATATTTATTTTCATTTCAAAGAGGAAGGGAGAGGGAGAGAAACATCAATAATGAGAATCATTGATCGGCTGCCTCCTGCACGCCCCCTACTGGGTGGGGATTGAGCCCTCAACCCGAGCACGTGCTTTTGAACGTAATCCATCCACCCAGGGACCTTCTAGTCCACAATCCAATGCTCTAACTACTGAGCCAAACCAGATAGGGCAGGAGGAGCTAACATTTCTTCGATGGTACTAAGGTATTTTTGAGTTTTGGTGGCATTTATCAACCAAAGATAAGGGGATTAAACTGAAAAAAGAATTATCTTCTCTCTACTGTTTGCAGGGCAGGCCACGCACTCGCATCCTTCCCCAGGAGCCTCGGTGTCTCCTCTTGCATAGACATAGGCCCTGGTGTTGAGAGTTCTCATCAGAGGTGGAAACAAGTTTCACCTGGGACCCTTCTTCAACTGTGTTTTATTTTTATTTTTTTTAATATATCTTATTGATTTTTTTACAGAGAGGAAGCAAGAGGGATAGAGAGAAACATCGATGAGAGAGAATCATCAATCAGCTGCCTCTGCACACCCCCTACTAGGGATGTGCCCGCAACCAAGGTACATGCCCTTGACCGGAATCGAACCTGGGACCTTTCAGTCCGCAGGCCGACGCTCTATCCGCTGAGCCAAACCGGTTTCGGCTCAAATGTGTTTTTAGTTCATCAGTAATTGGAAGCAGGCATCAAACTTCTGAGTCCAAGTTTAAATGTAAAGGGTTAACTTACAGTGATGACTGGTGGACTGTATTTCAGTATTTTTGGAGAATGATAAGATGGATCGGTGGTTTTAACATTCACTTTTCCAGAGTGTCTGGACTCCAGGTCTTTTGCTAAACAGACTGCCAACTAAAGAATCATTCTTGTTCTCTCTTACAGCTGACACAGTTAATCCTTGATAATTGCCATTGTGTCAATGGGGAAATTGAGGGCCTGAATGATACTTTTAAAAAACTAGAGTTTCTGAGTATGATTAATGTGGAACTAAGTTCACTGGCCCGGCTTCCCAACTTAAATAAACTTCGAAAGGTAAGTTGACGTTAGGCATTAAAGCATCATGATTTGAATGCGGAGGACTATTCTTGTTTTTGGGTTTTTTGTTTTTTTACCAAATGGAATGACTATTCTGCTTTATTATTTTTTTTTACTATTCTGCCTTTTAACTAAAAGGTTCTAAGTTTCTAGAGGTAAGCAAAAGGGCTATGTAGAATTTTGGAATCAGCTGTAATAATTGCTTTTATAAATTTATTTTATTTAATATATATTTTAATATATTTTGATTTCAGAAAAGAAGGGAGGAGAGGAAGAGAGAGATAGAAACCATCAGTGATGAGAGAGAATCATTGATCAGCTGCCTCCTGCACACCCTACAATGGGAATCGATCCTGCAACCCAGGCATGTGCCCTGATGGGAAATTGAACCATGACCTCCTGGTTCATGGGTTGACACTCAACCACTGAGCCATGCCATCTGGGCTTGCTTTTAGAAATTTATATTTAATAATGAATTGCTTTATGGTATGAATTTCAACTTAACATTTTCAACTTAAAGTTTTCCTCTGAAACATAAAATCTAACTATTAAACAGTTGGAACCAAACTTACATTAGGAGACATTATACCAACAGTACCCGGCACACAGTAGTTTGACTTACAACTTTTTGACTTAATGATGGTGTGAAAGCAATATGCATTAAGTAGAAACGGCACTACAGTTTTGAATTTTGATCTGTTACTGGGCTAGCAATATGGGGTATGTTACTCTCTCGTGAAGCTGGGCAGTGGCAATGAGCCAAGCTCCCAGTCAGACACGCGATTATGACATGAGGGTAAACAACTGATATTCTACAGTGTATATGTTAATTGTATTAGATGATTTTGTCCAACTGATGGCTAATTAATGTAAGTATTCTGAGAATGTTATAGGCTAGGCATAAGCTATGATATTGCTAGGTTAGCTATATTGAATGCATTTTTAAAAATCCTTATGTGAGGATATTTTCCCATTCATTTTTTGGAGAGAATGGAAGGGAGGGAAAGGGGAGAGAGAGAAACATCTATGTGACAGAGACACATGAATTGGTTGCCTGCCACATGCACCCTGACCTGGGCTGGGGATTGAGCCGCAACCGAGGTATGTGCCCTTGACTGGGAATCGAACCTGTGACCCTTTGGTCTGCAGGCCAATGCTCTAACCACTGAACAACCAGCTGGGGCATTAAATGCATTTTTAAAAATATATATATTTTATTGATTTTTTACAGAGAGGAAGGGAGAGAGAGAGAGAGAGAGAGCTTGAAACGTCGATGAAAGAGAAACATCGACCAGCTGCCTCTTGTACATCCCTGCCCACAACCAAGGTACATGCCCTTGACCGGAATCGAACCCGGGAACTTTCAGTCTGCAGACTGACGCTCTACCACTGAGCCAAACCGGTTTCTTAAATGCATTTTTGACTTGCAATATTTTTGACTTACAATGGTGGGTTTATCTGGATATAACCCATTATAAATCAAGCATCCATTCATACAGGAATTTTAACATACTACTTGGTGGTTGTAGGAGGAATTTGGAAATTAATTACTTTTGACAGTCTTGAAGCCAGAGAGAATAACAAATGCTTTCTGTCAACTGATGTATTTTTAAAATCTTTGATCTATCCTAAGTCTTAACCATTTTTTGTTTCTTCCCCATGTTGAATATATAGTTGGAACTTAGTAACAATAAAATTTCTGGAGGGTTGGAAGTCCTGGCAGAGAAATGTCCTAATCTTACCCACCTCAATCTGAGTGGAAACAAAATAAAAGATCTCAGTGCACTAGAAGCTCTGGTAAGTGGAAAGATTTGTCTCTGGGCTTGCTTTTTTTGGTTGAATTTTCTGAGATTTGCATATATAAGGTATCCAAAAAAGTATACACACACTTAAAAAGTATACACACACTTAATTATAAAGGCTGTGTTTATTAAAACACATTTTGTTTTCAGAATTGAGCTATCAGCTGTTAAAGTGTATATACATTTTTTTGGGATACTATATATATATATATATATATTAGCAGGAACAGAAAAATATTGCTCATTTATTTAAATATTATTCATTAGTAAAATACAAGAATATAAGTAAGGCCCTAGCTGGTTTGGCTCAGTGGATAAAGTATCAGCCTTTGGACTGACTTTCCGGGTTCAATTCCAGTCAAGGGCACGTGCCTGGGTTGCAGGCTTAATCCCCAGTAGGGGGTGTGCAGGAGGCAGCTGATGGGTAATTCTCTCTCATCATTGATGCTTCTATCTCTCTCTCCTCCCTTCCTCTTTGAAATCAATAAAAAAAAAAATTTTTTTTTTAAAGAACCTTCCTCTCTGTAAAAAATCAATAATACACACACACACACACACACACACACACACACACATATATATATATATCTCTCACATAAGAAGGTTAAAAGGCATACAGTGGATACCATTCTGGAAGGAAAAAAATAAAAGGAGACGGGAAGGTACAATAAAGTTTAATCAGTCACTCTCAAATGAGACACCAATATTAGAAGACTATTGGAAACACGGAAAAATTTCAGATGGTTTCTGATTACTAAAAAATAGATATTATACTCATAGTACTTGGAATAACAATTTTCATTGATATTACCTATCAGAATAAAAGTGGAAATTAATATATATCAGAAATTTTTATCTCTGCTTATTGTGAAAAATACTGATAATATTTAGACAAATATTTAAATATCAGGAGAGGTTATCCTATTGATTTCTATTTCATTCTTTTTTTTTTTTTTTAATATATTTATTGATTTTTAACAGAGAGAAAGAGAGAGAGATAGCTAGAAACGTCGATGAGAGAGAAACATCAACCAGCTGCCTCTTACACACCCCCTACTGGGGATGTGCCCGCAACCAACGTACATGCCCCTGACCAGAATCGAACTTGGGAACTTTCAGTCCGCAGACTGACGCTCTATCACTGAGCCAAACCGGCTTCGGCCTATTTCATTCTTTTAAAACGTCTGAATTTCTTATATATTATGATCTAGATTAGTGACTTTCAACCTTTTTCACCTCCTGGCACACATAAAATAATTACTAGAGTTCTGCTACACATAAAAAAATATATGTTTTGCTGAGCTAACGAAAAAAAAAAAAATAGGATAGCATTTTGAATGATTTACAGAAAAAAAAAAGTAATTACCCTTTTAGAGAGAGTTGAAGAGAGAGGGAAAGACAGAAACATCAGTGTGAGAAAAACACCAATTGGTTGCCTCCTAAACAAGCCCCAACCTGGGTCCAGGCCGGGGAGGAGCTTGTAATCAAGGAACGTGCCCATGACCGGAATCAAACCCAGGGCTCTTTGGTCCACAGGCCATGGCTCCATCCACTGAGCCAAACTGGCTAGGGCTTGTTGTCATTTTTTTTTATTTGACAATCTAAGGGATAAGAGTTTAGTGCCCCTGACTGCATGTTTTAAAAATTGCAGCATACTGGTTGAAAATCACTGATTTAGATGGTTAAGGCTTTCTTTTCCTTTTGAGTAAAACATTCAGATAATTTTTTAAACTCATGAGAAATTTATTGTATTATCAACTTAAAGAGTTGAATATCTGGCCGAAACCGGTTTGGCTCAGTGGTAGAGCATCGGTCTGCAGACTGAAAGGTCCCAGGTTCGATTCTGGTCAAGGGCATGTACCTTGGTTGCGGGCACATCCCCAGTAGGGGGTGTGCAAGAGGCAGCCGATGGATGATTCTCTTTTATTGATGTTTCTAACTCTCTATCCCTCTGTCTTCCTCTCTGTAAAAAAATCAATAAAATATCTTAAAAAAAAAAAGAGTTGAATATCTGATCTAAAATTTCTAGTATTTTCTTAAATTCTATTCCTTTTCCTTTCTTCTGGACTTTTTAAAAATTATTTCATTATTTGCTCATTTGTTTCCTAGTATGAGGAAAGGAAAAGATAAAGTGAAAAATTGTTGCTCCGATTTTTAAAAAGTTTGTGAAGAGGTTGAAATTGTTGAAAGTAAGTTTGTGGATTTAAACTAAACATGTTGTTATTGTTGCCTATTTGTGCGTAGATTCGCTCAACAAATATCCTGAGTGCCTTTTATAAGTAAGACACTAAGCCAGGTGCTGGAGACACAGTAGTTGAACACAACCAAGTTCCTACTTCTGTGGAGTTAGCATGCCAGCACTTCATTAAGAGAACTTAATTCTAAAGGTTCATTATAAAATTCTAAAGGTTCAAAAATCATCCTCTTGATTTCAAGTATATGTTTTCTGGTTCATGAGTTAAAAGAAAGTAACAAGATATTTTACATCTTGATTGTAAGTTTTAACTTCTTATTTTTCCAGCAAAATCTTAAAAATTTGAAAAGTCTTGACTTGTTTAACTGTGAGATCACAAACCTAGAAGATTACAGAGAGAGTATTTTTGAACTGCTGCAGCAAATCACCTACTTAGATGGATTTGATCAGGAGGATAACGAAGCACCAGACTCGGGAGCAGAGGATGATGAAGGTAATCATTCATAATACTCATAAATGTGCCACAGTTATAGTTTGCACTCTAACCAGGCAAATTAGAATGGGCATGGATATTTTATCTATCTGTTATAAGTCACCCAGTAAAAGTGGCAATATTTATTTATTTATTTATTTATTTTTGTTATGTTAAGTTTTTTTTTTTGTTTTGTTTTGTTATGTTAAGTTTTTAAAAAATATATATTATTGATTTTTTACAGAGAGGAAGAGAGAGGGATAGAGAAAAACATCAATGAGAGAGAATCATCAATCAGTTGCCTCTTGCACACCCCCTACTGGGGATGTGCCTGCAACCCAGGTACATGCCATTGACTGGAATTGAACCTGGGACCTTTTAGTCCACAGGCTAACGCTCTCCACTGAGCTAAACTGGTTTCGGCAATGTTACGGTTTTATGCAACTTTTAAAATAGTACTTTAAAAAATCTCATTCATCACAGTATCTATATGTATAAAAGGTTAAGCAACCATCTGACCTTCCCTCTGTCCGACTGGTAGATATGACACGCACTGACCCCCGGTAGATATGATGTATACTGACCACACAGGAGTTGCTGAGCTGCGGTGACTTGGCAGCAGCGGTCTCGGGTGATCCCACCCTGGAACCAGAGGAGGGAGCCCAGTTCCGGGCTGCATCACCCGAGAACTGCCCTCTTGCACTTTGCGATCTCTCTGGGTATGTCAGAGAGCCGGTTTCAGCCCGATCTCCACAGGCCAGGCTGAGGGACCCCACCTGCCAGAGGGACCCTGCTCGCTCTGCAGATGCCCTTTGAGCCATGGCACCGCCTCAGGTGCAGCTGTCCGGGGGGCTCCAGGACTGGCCTCAGGGCGTGTCCAGACCATCTCACCCAGTCCCGCCACGCCAGCCACCTCTAATTAATTTCCTTTCAGTGTGTAAGAATCTATGCACAGGGGCACTAGTTATCTATAATATAATAGCCACTAAGTAGAAACAACCCATGTTCATAAATAGATAAAGTACTAAGTAGAAAAACAAAATCTGTATATATGTATAGAATGGAATTATAGTCAGCCATAAAAATAAAGTATTAATACCAGAGTGAACCTTGAAAACCTACTAAGTTAAAGAAGCCAGACACAAAAGGCTACATATTGTATAACTATTTATATTGAAATGTCCAGAATAGGCAAATTCACAGAGATACAAAGTAGATTATTGGTTGCCAGGGCTAGGGGAAAGGAAAAGGGTGAGTGCTAATGGCTTTGGGGTTACTTTGGAGTTGATGGAAATGTTCTAGAATTAGGTAGTGAATATATATTTTTGGGAAAATGGGTGACTAACAGATAAGATGGATAAAATAATGGACAAGCAGGTTTTGAAGTGTCCACAAAATAAAATAAAATAAAATTTCAAAATATTTTGATGAAAAGTTGTATGTTGAAAATTTTTCAGTATATAGAAACCGTATTTTTATTTTTTTATTGATTTTTTACAGAGAGGAAGAGAGAGGGATAGAGAGTTAGAAACATCGATGAGAGAGAATCATCAATCAGCCACCTCTTGCACACCCCCTACTGGGGATGCGCCGGCAACCAACGTACATGCCCTTGACCGGAATCGAACCTGGGACCCTTCAGTCCGACATTCTATCCACTGAGCCAAGCCGGTCTCGGCTAGAAACTATTTTTCAAGTAGTAAATATGGGTGTTATAAAGAGGACATTTTAAGAAATAAAATCACTGAGAATACCTCCCACCTTTTTGCTTAAGAGTTTGAAGTGATTGGGGCAAGGGTTAAAAGAATCAATATATTATCAATAAACATTTGCCCAGCCATTTGCCTACCTCTGAAAATATTTTTAAAGATGGAGATGAAGATGACGAAGAGGAAGATGAAGCAGGTCCACCTGAAGGATATGAGGAAGAGGAAGAAGAGGAGGAGGAGGACGATGAAGCAGGCTCAGAACTGGGAGAGGGAGAAGAGGAAGTGGGCCTCTCATACTTAATGAGAGAAGAAATTCAGGTGAACAGACCCTTCTTACCTGCACTGAAAATTAGTTATTTAGGCATAGAGCTAAGTACTATAAGAAGTAAGATGTGTAGAAATCTGAGTTATTTCTAACCTAGGAAAGAGAGAGAGAGAGAGAGAGAGAGAGAGAGAGAGAGAGAGAGAGAGAGAGAGAGAGAAAGAGAGACATTGATGGGCCATCCTCCTTTCCCTCCTGACCAAGTATCAAACCCCCAACCCAGGTACTCCACCCGACTGAGAATCAAACTGGCAACCTTTTGGTGCCTGGGATGATGCCCAACCAACCAAAGTCACTGGGGCCGGTTTCTTGCTGTGCGTTGTTGTAGCTTTCTAAATGCTCTCTCTGAACCCAGCATCACATGAAGGTGTAGCTTGCCTGTGTGTTCCGAAAGCAAATACCAGCCTGCCTAAAACCCTTTAATGTGTCCCTGTTGCCACCAAGACAAACAAGGCCCTTCATTATCTAGCCCCTGCTTCCTTCTCTGGCTTTGTCTCCCTCAATACCAAATTAAATTGTCACACGGAGCTATTTCTTGCCTTCCTGTCTGTATATAATGTGAGTATTCTATTAATATGACTTTGTACCCATGTCCTCTGATGAATTTTCTTTTTTTGAGATAAACATAGAGCAAAGCATGTAAAATACACTGATTTTATGGACAAGTCCATGAAATTGTTTTTAATTCTCACCTAAGGATATGTTTTTTCAAAATTGATTTTAAAAATATATTTTATTGATTTTTTACAGAGAGGAAGTGAGAGAGATAGAGTTAGAAACATTGATGAAAGAAACATTGATCAGCTGCCTCCTGCACACCTCCCACTGGTGATATGCCCCCAACCAAGGTACATCCCCTTGACCAGAATCGAACCTGGGACCTTTCAGTCTGCAGGCTGACGCTCTATCCACTGAGCCAAACTGGTTTCAGCTCAAAATTAATTTTTATAGAGAGTGGAAGGGGGGAGAGCGATAGAGACAGAAACATAGATGTGAGAGAGAAACAGGATCTCTGCAACCTAGGTAAGTGCCCTGACTGGGAATTGAACCAACGGCCTTTCCATATATGGGATAATGCTCCAAGCCACCGAGTCACACCAGCCAGGGCAAATCCACAGGATTTTACATATGTTTATACTTGTGTAACCACCACACAAATCATGCCTTGTGAACTGTTATCTTTAAAAATTCAACTCTGGCCCAGCCTGTTTGACTCAGTGGTTGAACGTCAAGAGATCATGATTCAGTTCCCCTTCAGGGCACACGCCCAGATTGCGGGCTCCATCCTTAGACTGGGTGTGCAGGAGGTAGCCCATCGATGATGTTTCTACCCCTCTATCCCTCTCCCTTCCTCTCTCTCTAAAAAATCGATGAACGTATTTTTTTTAAAAGGCTCTACTTTATAAAAAACAAAACAAAACACAAACTCTCAGCTCTGGAGTTGCCTCATTGAAGCTTTTTATAATTTTTTTATGGACAATCACTCCTTTCTTTGTTACCTTTGAAACTTGATTAGACTTCTGTTATTACCTGTAGTCATTTTTGTAAAAACTTGTTTATTTGGCAACTTTCTGCTAGATGGTGAAATCTTTAAGGGAGGGAGTTTCTCCTATTGTTAATTTATTGTTTTGTTTTCATAATTCATAATTTAAAACAAGTTTTTATTATTAAAAATAATATCTTACAATAGAAATTGTTAGTATTCTCATGTTTTCCTAATGACTTACATTGGTTAGATAGATGATATCACTGATTAATGGTAATTTTTCTCTGATACTCTTTTTTTTAAATATATTTTATTGATTTTTTTACAGAGAGGAAGAGAGAGGAATAGAGAGTTAGAAACATCGATGAGAGAGAATCATTGATCAGCTGCCTCTTGCACACCCCCTACTGGGGATGTACCCGCAACCCAAGTACATGCCCTTGACCGGAATCGAACCCAGGACTTCTCAGTCCTCAGACCAATGCTCTACCACTGAGCCAAACCGGTTTCGGCTCTCTGATACTCTTTTAAATATAAAACTACTATGAGGAAAAATAGGACTCAAACTTGTTTGGCCCTTAGTGAGTTAGGAGCTATAAAATCATGAAGAACCTTTAAGCATTTTATGTATTCATAGAGAAAGGCAACCTGTTTAATTTGAATCCTTCTGCAACTTGAGTGTTTCCCCCCTAAGTTTTAATTTATTTAGTAAAATAATGAACTCATGTTATTTTTGTCTTTGGCTTTTTATTTTCTCTGTCAATCATTCTTTTTAAGTCCAGATAGTATTAAGTAATTTAAAAATGACCTTTAGCTAACTGCAAATGTTTATGTGTATCATTCCACTGAACATTGGGAAATATTAACTAAAATTGGTCAAGTATAGAGCAGAAATCTCTAAGATAATACATACAACATTAAGTCAGTGTAGTATCCAGGTAGCAGTGACTAGAAGTGTTCCATTATGATGAGAAAATTTGGGTGTTTAAAATGAGGTCTTGTTTTTTTTTTTTTTAATATATTTTATTGATTTTGTACAGAGAGGAAGGGAGAGAGATAGAGTTAGAAACATCAATGAGAGAGAGTCACCGATCAGCTGCCTCTTGCACACCCCCTTCTGGAGATATGCCTGCAACCAAGGTACATGCCCTTGACCGGAATCAAACCCAGGACCCTTCAGTCCCCAAGCCGACACTCTATCCATTGAGCCAAACCGGTCTCGGCTAAAATGAGGTCTTGTTTTTAGAAACTAAGAACCAGTGGAAGGGAGTGTCAGAGTCTACTGAGATTTGAAAAGAAAGTAGAAGGAAATAGAAATGGTATTTTATTAGGTATTTTTTGTTTGAGTTTTTTTTTTTTTTTTTTAAATTTTCACCTTAGGATATGTTTTTTATTGATTTTTGAGAGAGAGGAAGGGAGAAATATAGAAAGAAACATCAATGTGAGATAGAAACATCTATCAGTTGCCTCCCATATGTGCCCTGACTGGGAATCAAACTGAAACCTTTTGATATACCGGATGATGATGCCCCAACTAACTGAGCCACTCGGCCAGGGCATTTTGAGTCTTATTTCTATTTCAGCTGCTCCGCAAAAGTAAGGAATTAATATGTTTAAAGAAGGACTTTATGTAGGACTTACAATATGCATTGTAATCATATTTTCTTTAAAACAAATTCCAGACAAGTAATTAACCTTTTAAACTTGGGCTTTTCTAAATTATCAAGGGATAATGTGATGAGTATCTCGTGTGTTTTTAAAATTGTAAGTATCAAACTGGAAAATCTGTGTCATGGCTCATTTATTCTCAAACTGAATATTTGAATTTCAAGGATGAAGAAGATGATGATGACTATGTTGAAGGGGAAGAAGAAGAAGAAGAAGATGAAGAAGAAGAAGAGGGTGAGTTATATCAGCCATAAAAGTATTCTAAAATTAGAGGGGGAGGGTCAATATGGCGGCATAGGTAAACGCAGTATTTGCCTCCTGCCACAACCACATCAAAATTACAACTAAACCACAGAACCAGCATCATTCAGAACCACCTGAAATCTTGGCAGAACAGAAGCCCTACAACTAGAGAATTAAAGAAGTCACATTGAGACTGGTATGAGGGGCAGAGGTGTGGAATGGGCTGTGTGATGGTTAAAAATCGGAAGGGATTTCTTGGCTGCAGAACTCCCCCTGTTAGTAGCAAAACTATCCCAGCTCCACACCAGACTCCTCAACCCAAGGTTCCAGAGCCAGGAAGAAAAGTCCCTGTAACTTCGGGTTGTAAAAACCAGTGGGGATTGTGCTGAGTGACACAGAGGCTGTTGTGTCAGGAGTCCCAGGCAGTTTCTCTTAAAGGGCCCACACTCAGACTTACTCAGACTCACTCCCTCTGAGCTACAGCATTGGGGCAGCAACTTGAAAGGATCCAGTAAGAGGTGCTCAGGAGGCAGCTGATCAGTGATTCTCTCTTATCATTGATATTTCTCTCTCTCCCTTCCTCTCTGAAATCAATAAATGTTTTGGTTTTTTTTTTTTTTAAAAAGAACTAATTGAAATGGAAGCAGGAAAACTACCAGATACAGAGTTCAAAACAATGGTTTTAAGGATGCTCAAGGGACTTAAGAACTCCAAGGACATACAAAAGGAAGTCAGAAATGAAGGATACACTAAATGAAATGAAGAATAATTTACAGGGGATCAACAGTAGAGTAGAGGATGCCAAGAATCAAATAGACGATTTGGAATATGAGTAAGCAAAAAACACCCAATCAGAAGAGCAAAAGGAAAAAAAGAACCCAAAAATATAAAGATATATAAGGAGCCTCTGGGACAACTTCAAGCATACCAACATTCATCTCTTAGGGGTACCAGAAGGAGAAGAGAGGGAGCAAAAAATTAAAAACCTGTTTGAAAAAATAACGAAGAAAACTTACCCTACCTGGTGAAAGAAATAGACTTACAAGTGCAGGAAGTTCAGGATGAACCCAAAGAGCCCCACATCCAGACACCTCATAATTAAAATGCCAAAGGTTAAACACAAAGAGATTCTTAAAAGCTGCAAAAGAAAAGCAGTTAGTTACCTACAAGGGGAGCGCCCACATAACTCTCAGCCAATTTCTAGACAGAAATTTTGCAGGTCAGAAGGGAGTGGCAAGAAATATTCAAAGTGGAAAAAAAAAAAAAAAAAAAAAATATTCAAAGTGATAAAAAACAAGGACCAATAACCAAGACTATATGCATTACCCATGGACACAAACAATAGGGCGGTGAAGGCCTGGGGTGGGGCAGGATCCAGATGGAAGAGGGAAATGGGGGTGGGGAGACATTTGTAATACTCAACGATAAAGATTAAAAAAAGAAGAAAAAGATATCCTAAAATTAAAGTTACAGCTGTTTAAAAAAAAAATTAAAAAAATAAAGTTACAGCTATTCATGGTATTTAAAGATTGACTCTATAACTCAAAATTACTACTGATATTTTGATTTTGGCAACATGTTATAGAATTCTCTTGAAAGGTATAAAACCTTTTTCCCCCTTAGGGTATTTATTAATTCCAATTGAAAAACAGCTTATAACATTTATTTTCAAAGTAGGAATAAAGAGATAATGGATTTCTTTTAAAAATATATATATATATTTTATTGATTTTTTAGAGAGGAAGAGAGGGATAGAGAGTTAGAAACATCGATGAGAGAGAAACATCTATCAGCTGCCTCTTGCACACCCCCTACTGGGGATGTGCTAGCAACCAAGGTACATGCCCTTGACCGGAATCAAACCTGGGACCTTTCAGTCCAGCTCTATCCACTGAGCCAAACCGATTTCGGCGATAATGGATTTTTTTTTTTAAATATATTTTTGTTGATTTCAGAGAGGACAGGGGAAAGGGAGAAATAGAAACATTAATGATGATTAAAAATCATTGCTCGGCTACCTCCTGCACCCTGCCTACTGGGGTTTCAGCCTGAATGTGCCTTGTTTGGGAATCAAACTATGACCTCCTGTTCATAGGTTGATGCTCAACCACTGAGTCACACTGACCAGGCAAGATCATGGATATTGAGTTCAGTTTATTATTTTCTTTTCAGGGTCTTACATTTTGGAGACGATGAAGGCTTCTCTAGAAGGGAAGAACAGTTGAACTCGATAATACCCTTTTTAGATTTGCTCTCTGGTACTCTACCTAGGCCTTTCCAAATAAATTTTAAAATTCACTAATAAGTCCATTATATCAAGCTCTTAATTTCTTGACCTGTACTTAACGATTTGGCCACAAGGGTGCATAGTAAGCTGCCATTATTTATGGATTTCTAAGTTTTAAGTTCTTTCAACTGAAGTTGAAAAGAAATTCACAGAGGACACTTAACCTATAATTTTTTACACCATTAACTTTTCACTAAGGATCCAAGCTTTGTAATTTAACAAATATTTATTTGCTAAAATTAAGTTTTTTATACTTTTCCTTTCACTCTTCTTTCAGAAGAAGGTCTTCGAGGGGAAAAGCGAAAACGAGATGCTGAAGATGATGGAGAGGAAGAAGATGACTAGATCATTCTAAGACCAGTTTCCCTAAATTCCTGGGTGTGCAATAGAGTGGTCACATCTTGTTTCTTCATGTATAATAGTTATCCCTACAATAAGATAATGTGTAACTTTTTATAGGAAAAGTGTGGTTTTACTATTTTTGCCTTATCATTCCAAATAAGATTTACTAGTCTGCTAATGATCATATTATATGTAGAGAAAATTTTTCATTGACCCCATTGTGAAATTCCCTAGCAGTTTATTTAGAATCTTAATTTTTCTAATACAAGTTTACTTATTAGTCATTTTAGCCCATAATTAAAACATGATGACTTTTGCACAGGTATAGTGTGCATTTCATTCATAAGGTTTTAAAGTTATTTATGAATTAACAAATTATAGTCAGCTGGAATATGAAATGAAAATAATCTCTTGAATGATAAGTTGGTTATTTTTTAGAGGTGACCCAGAGATCTTCATTTGGAAGGCAATGTCCTTTTTTGGCTAAGGGATTTTGGGTGCTCTTTTGTCATGTGAGTAACTTGGGAAGTAGGAGCAGAATAATAAAGGTTCTATTCAGCAATATAGTTCCTGGCTTTCGGGGAGGCTTCTGAAACCTTTAAGCCCAGTGGCTAGTATGATTTTCTTTTTGAAGAAAAAATTGCTTACAGTAAGTTCAGAGACATGCAGAGAAGCCCTTTGTTCCGATCTGAATGAAGAGCATGACATGCTAATGGTTGTTTTTTTTTTGTTTTTAAGTGAGCATTTTTCATTTTCCTTTCAACAGTTCCTTTATGATCACCTTCCTTTCTTGTTTCACTCTCCTCAAAAAACAAAACAAAAAAAAATGGGGGGAAAACTTATGAATACCCAGGAAAACCTTTATTCTTATACCTCAACTACCTTTTCAGACCTGTCTCAGTTTATAAAAAGCTAAGTGAAACAAACTGAGTATTTTCTGAGATATGAATATTATTATCTATGCAGTTTTATGCAACAGACTCTGCTTACTGGAAATCTTTCTCAGTTGAAAAGATGTACAGACTAGAAGGATGAAGAAAGAAAAGAAGCAGATGGTTTTTCTGGAAGCAGAACTAGTGTTCCTCAAAAGTCAGAATAATTGCCTGTTGGTAATTAATGAGACATTCAAATCAAATTATAAGTTAGCTTCCCAATAACTTAGCTACCACTCTGCAAGCATTTTTAATTTTTTCTGAGTAGAACCTTTAATTATTCTTTCTATAGTTTTAAAGCATTTGATTGGAATATATTAGGCAATGGGAAAATATTTGAAACTAAATCCATATTAAAGTTAAGGTTTGTTTTCAAGTGGAAGTCCATTAAAAAGTAGGAAAATATCTGGGAAAAGTGCGAGTGTGTTTTCTTATATGGCTACTGATTATAATATGAGTAAATAAGTTCATCTCCCTTTTTGTTATGGAGGCTCCGTGTTCAAGGCAATTGCTTTTTTAATCTTGGCTCTCTAAATGTTTTCCCCTTTTGAATATTTGCAAGTTTTCTTGTTATTGTCAGCAAATTAACTGAAGTTATACTTTCATGCTGGGGCACATCTAAATTACTGAGTATAGTACTGCTTCTTTTTTAGTTTAAGCTAAAAACGTGGCACAAAATGACTGAATTAAAACTCTTATGATAAGTTTAGTGGGGAGGATTTGAATATCCAAATAGCTAACATTTTATTCCTTTTTAACAATTGAAATCCCTTGTTTTAGTCCCTAAGAATTCTCATTACATTGTTTGCCAGATTATAAAATACTTATTTTTAAAATTAAACTTATATATTGACTTTCTTATCAATCATTTTATCGTGCAATCAATATTGTTCTTTGGTTTGTAAACAATACTTAAGAGCCTCCAAATAACTTTTAAGACTTATTTAGCATTGTGGGTGATATTTTCATGCAAATAAGGGTGGGTTTTATATTTTGTAGGAGTTTTTGGTCCTATTTTAATGCTTTGTATGGCAGTGTGTATATAGTGTGTTAAATTCCTCAAAACTCTGAAAAATCTTTGAAGTTAATACTTTTGTGCAACTGTTTTGAATAAAGCCATGACAGTGTTAAGACAAAAAAAAAAAAGCAGTACTTCTGAGTATTCTTTTATTATTTCTGACTGTTCCCTGTTTTTTTCTGAGACTGCTGTAACTTAAAATTTTTGAAACTGAATTGCTTCAAATAAATTGAAGATTTGTTGTTAATGATTAGTTTCAGTGTATGATATTCACTTTTGAACACCACCATTGGGGGTATTGATGTTTTTAAAGACTGAGGAATGCTGGTAGAAGAATCTGTAAGTGTAATGGAAGGAACTACAGCTGAAGCAACTAAACTTTTTTTTTTTAAAAATATATTTTATTGATTTTGTACAGAGAGGAAGGGAGAGAGATAGAGAGTTAGAAACATCGATGAGAGAGAGTCATAGATCAGCTGCCTCTTGCACACCCCCTACCGGGGATCTGCCCGCAACCAAGGTACATGCCCTTGACCAGAATCGAACCCGGGACCCTTCAGTCCCCAAGCCGACGCTCTATCCATTGAGCCAAACCGGTCCCAGGTGAAGCAACTAAACTTAACCAATGGCAGCTGCACCAGAGGAAACTGCCTGCCAGGGAAGTGCAATTAACCAGTGCACTTCCAACAAGGAAACCAGTGCAGGTCCAGCGCTTTTAGCTGTGCACACACTCCTCTCTGGTTTTCTTTTTTAAAAAAATATATCACTGATTTTTTACAAAAAGGAAAGGAGAAGGATAGAGAGTTAGAAACATTGGTCAGCTACTTCCTGCACACTCCCTACTGGGTATGTGCCCGCAACCAAGGTACGTGCCCCTGACCAGAATGAAACCAGGGACCCTTGAGTCCGCAGGCTGACGTTCTACCCACTGAGCCAAACCGGATAGGGCTCCCTCTGGTTTTCTGAGAACACTGAGTTAAGAACGAACTCCTATCTGCAATGTTGAGGATTTTATATTTGTAGGAAATAAGTGAAATCTTTCTGAATAGGATTCCAGGTAAGGGGCTTATTTATTTATTTTGTCCCAAGCTATCTATATTGGAATATGTGGAGGTAAATTCCCTTTTTTTATTGTTTTGACATATTTGGCACTTTATCCTTTTGCACTACTGCTTGCTTCCCCATTGCCACGGTTCCTTGGCTGTAGCCTCAGGTGTGTGGATTAGAACTCTAGAATTAAGCCTCATCTGTTTTGTTTTTACCCCATTTCCTTTTCATTTCAAGGACTCCAGCCTAAAGACTGAGTTTCTCCAAGTCCTTTCATTCTGCCATACTCCTCTGGGGCAAACCCACCACATCATGCAGGTAAGACATCACTATTTCAGATTTAAAAAAAAAAATGATTTCAGAGAGCGAGGGAGAGGGAGAGAGAGAAACATCAAAGATGAGAATTATTGATCGGCTACTTCTTGTACGCCCCCTACTGGATGGGGCATGTGCCCTTGACCGGAATGGACCCCGGGACCCTTCAGTCCACTGGCCGACACTCTATCCACTGAGCCAAACCCATTAGGGCACTACTTCAGATTCTTGACAGAAGGCTTGAATAAACAGATTGGGAGAGTTTATTGAAATGCTCAAATGTTTAGATGCTTAAATGGCAATCAAGTGCTCTTCTGGGATACGTGTTTCGAGGTAAATTATGTGTCTAGTGTTATCGGACACTCGTCTTTCTAGATTTTTACCTTCATTTCCCCAAACCCGCAATCCCCCTCCCCTTTTTTGTGTTTACAAAATTTTATGTGATATAAGCCCCTTTGGAGGTTTCAACAGGATTTGATCGCCTTGGGGGGAGAGCAACAGAACTTCAAATTGAAGCAATGGCCCTCTAGCTATGGAGGAAAAGACATAAAAAGTATCACTCTAGCTTGTGCCCCTAATTTAAAAAAAAAAAATTGTGACCTTGGACACATTTTCAGCTTCTCAGAGACTGTTTGCTCACTCACCATCTTGACCGGAAGTCCCCTAATGTGCCCCTAATTTGATTCGGTGGACATATGGTAAAAAGGTCTGCCAAACCAGAACCTTAGATTCAAGAGCAGAGACGAGAACAGGGAGATAGAAAGGGGTCAGGCCTGAGGACAAGCTCAGGCGAACAGAACGGCTCCGCACTGACGCCTCGGCTTGGGCCGGAAGAGCTGCAGCCCCGGGTCACGTGCTCTCGCCCCACCCTCCCGGCCCCGGATCAGCGAGGGCGGGCGCGCGCCCCCCCGACGCTGACTTCGTGAGTTGCGCATGCGCAACGAGGGTAGCCGTCTTCCCGGGACGTCTGGCACCTGAGGTCGGCAGAAGGTGTCTGTGTCTCCCTTCCGTTTCCCTCTTTCTGCTTCCAGCTACTGAACATTCAAACTCGCCTGTTCAGGGCCTTGGAACCTTCCTTTTCTTCATGCAACCGTCGCTTATGATTTCATTTCTGTTTTCTTTTTAATTCCAAATATTGGATTATTCTTAGTTCCACATTCATGAATACCATTCAATGTAGCGGCTATGAGCAACAGTGTGTATGTACCTTTTCAAGGTCAGGTGGAAAGGTCATTGGCCTGAGGCCACAACCTCTTGTTTGTCCCAGTTTGGGTTCAGGATGGCACTTGGGTGACCTTTGCTTCTTGTCCGAAGCCTGCTGTTCCTCGTCGTTTCTATACCCTGTCTTAAAGCCAGAAAGGCTGGATTGATCTGTCTCAATAGTTAGTCAAGTCATATCCAAGGACGAATCAATTATGGAAAAACACTTAGAGCAACCACACCATCAGAAAATGACATGCAGCCGAAACCTGTTTGGTTCAGTGGTAGAGCGTCGGTCTGCGGACTGAAAGGTTCCAGGTTCGATTCCGGTTAAGAGCATGTACATTGGTTGCAGGCACATCCTCAGTGGGGGGTCGATGTTTCTCTCTCATTGACGTTTCTAGTTCTCTATCTCTCTCTCTTCCTCTCTGTACAAAATCAGTAAAATATATTTAAAAAAATAATAAAGTATGGGTTGATGATTTTATTAGCAACTGTAAATATTTAACTTTAGTAAAACTAATAGCCTCTCAGGCATTTTCAATGGCTTTTACAAACCAGTCACAAAATTGGGTAAAACAAAGGCCATTTACGCCATTTAAAATAAGAAAAAAGAATATATCTGTATTTTGAGAAGCCAAGGTTTTTCTGTTGGATAACATCATTTTTCAGAAAAGAATTTTCCTTTGAACAGAGTAAACATGACCCTACCCTGATCCACAGTAGGGTTTATCTTTTCTTCTTCTTCTTCTTCTTCTTCTTCTTCTTCTTTTTTTTTTTTAATATATTTTATTGATTTTTTACAGAGAGGAAGATAGAGGGATAGAGAGTTAGAAACATCGATGAGAGAGAATCATCGATCAGCTGCCTCTTGCACACCCCCTACTGGGGATGTGCCTGCAACCAAGGTACATGCCCTTGACCGGAATCGAACCTGGGACATTTTAGTCCGCAGGCCGACAGTCTATCCACTGAGCCAAACAGCTTTTGGCATTTTTTTTCTCTTCTTTTTATATTGAGGAATTGTGTCTCAGTGCTATTTTGATGCTGCCACAAATATTAAAATAAATAATTGTTAGCAGGAGAAGCTGATAGTGAATTTGGTTTTTACAGCCCGTGGGACATGGAGAAGCTACCTGCTGAGGAAGTGGTTATTGCCATCTGGTGTATGTGGTGAGTCCAAAGCATGATACCGATCCTGTGATAAACCTCCTTTTTGTATCATCTATTTTCCCTTTAACCACTCTGCTATGTCAGTCTTGAGGTTGCTGTTGGAGTTCAGGGACAAATAAGAGGATACATAATGTAGGCCACTGTACAGTAATGAAATAGCAATTCTGCAATCTGTTTCTAAGGCTCTGTCCTTAATAAAATACAGGGTGCTGTATGGTTATGAGCTTTCAC